AGGCGGAGGCGCAGGCGGAGGCGGAGGCGGAGGCGGAGGCGGAGGCGGAGGCGGAGGCGGAGGCGGAGGCGGAGGCGGAGTCGTAGGCGGAGGAGGAGGAGGTGGAGGCGGAGGAGGAGGAGGAGGAGGAGGAGGAGGAGGCGGAGGCGGAGGAGGAGGACCAGTGTAAACCCAAGAGCCATGAACGATGTTGGAAGTACCCCTCCTTCCAAGCTCCCTCTTCATAAGCCCCTACAACGGTTCATTTCCTTTGTGGGAACTGCCTCGTTGGGAGACTTAATTTGAAGACTTTGAAGCATGCCAAAACATCGTTCTCGAGAGTTCCACGCCACGGATCAAGCTGAGTGCTGCTTCCTGGCGGGCTGGAATCGTGCCCAAACGTCATGTTTTTGGACTTCAACACAGCGAACCAACTTAACTGTTTCACCGACATAATCCCGAATCCCTCCAAAGCACCATTTTCTGGTATGTTGATCCTGGGAATCCTTGAAACTCCTGCAAATCGTCGAAACGAATGTGCGCGGCGCTAAGGCGAGTCACATTTGGAAAACGACCCGTCTCCAATCCGTGGAATTCTTGCGAATTGTTAAGACGAGTGTGCGCGGCGCTAATGCGAACGCCACATTTTGAAAACGACCCGCCCTCAATCCGTGAAGCTCTTGCGAGCTTTGAAAACGAATGTGCGCGGCACTGAGGCGAGTCACATTTGGAAAACGACCCGTATTCAATCCGCGAAACTCTTGCGAATTGTTAAGACGAGTGTGCGCGGCGCTAATGCGAACGCCACATTTTGAAAACGACCCGCTGTCAATCCGTGAAGCTCTTGCGAACTTTTAAAACGAATGGGCGCGGCGCTAGGGCGAGAGGAACATGTCGAAAATGACCCGCCCTCAATCCGTGAAGCTCTTGCATTTCTTCAGACGAACATGCGCGGCGCTGAGGCGATAGCCACATTTTTAAAACCGCCTGCCCTCGATCCGTGAAGCTCTTGCAAATATTTGAAACGAATGTTCGCGGCGCTAAGACGAGAACCACATTCAGAAAACCACCCGCCCTCCTCCTAGTTCATGCACACTTTTCAGACGAATGTGCGCGGCGTTCAGGCGAGAACCACATTTTGCAAATGGCTCGCCCTCCATCCGTGAATCCGTTGCAGGTTTTATGCGTTACTAGGCTACACGGTGAGGCGGTCTCATGCGAAACGCCCGGCCCGCCCTACTAACGCGTCTCGGGGCGGACAAGAGGAATCTCTTATAAGGACAAAGGACGGAGTAGGAGGATGCGCATTGTTCGTTGTCGTTGTGGGCCCAGGTCGTAGAGGAAGGCGAGTCGCTTGCCGGGGGCACAGACGACCCCCGTGATCATGTGGCCGCCATCCGATCGGCCCTCTTCCCTTCGCTGGACGTGCCCCAGCTCACCTCCCTCTTTCCCCCTTCCCCTTGCTCCTCCCCTTCCTCGTCCCGTCCCTCTTGCACTACCCCCCCGCGCGTCGCGAGGAAGTCCTGAGAGTCGCGCGTCTCCTTGCGCGTACCTCTTGCGCACAGGACGGGTACGATTTTTGTCATGTTTAGGTGTGTTTTCTATATCCGAGCTTTTCTGGTCCTTCCACAATGGCGCTCCCGCTGCAGCGTGGGCCTCATTGGCGGATCGGTGCTTGTCCGCTGTCGTTCAGAGTGGCGCTGTCGCCCCAGCGCGGGCCACTTTTCCAAAGCCGAGTTCTTCCTCGTCTTTGCCTCACCGCTCCTTTCCCCTCCTGTTTTCCCTGGTCCTCCTCCTCCTCCTCCCCCTCCTCCTCTTCCAGCTCCTCACACTCCTGCTCCTGATGGTGCTGCTGCTGCTTTTCCTCCTCGTCCTCCTCAGTGGTTGTCCTCGTCTTCATCCTGTTCATCTTCCAGCTCATCAGCTACCTCCTCGTCCAATCTACACAGCTTCTCGTGTCTGATTGCGCATAACACGATTGTGCAGTTTCGGAGGTTCCAGGTCCGCTGTGTCGCCTCTGAGCGGATCGAGGAAAATCAGCGCCATTGTAATGGACGGGTGGGAGGGGTAGGATGCCAGACATGGCGCGAGCGCCACCAGCTTGCCCCCCCCCCGCCCCACCCCCTTCTCCCTCTTGCTCTCCCCCCCCCTCTCGCTCCTTCTCCCCTTCCCCGATCCATCTCTCTTTCCCTCTCCCTCTCCCTCTTTGGGTTGAGGGCGGGGGAGCTTTGGGGCTGTGCGGGACCCTGCGTGGCCTTCAGGGGACGTTGGGAGGCATTAAGGAAGCCTTCGGGGCTTCTGGGGCTTCGCAGCCATGTGCGGAAGGTTCGCGTCGTGTCGACCGGCGGCGACCCCAGCGCGTGCGTTTGAGGTTGAATGCCGTCTGTGGCCCAAAATCGGCCCATCCTTGAACGGTCCGGCCTGTTTGAAAGGGCCGATCGTTGAAGTTTGAACGATCCCCTCGGTGTCGGGAACCAACGCCGGGGTCGACATGACGCGAACCTGCCGTAGGGGCTTCAGGGCAGCACGAGGAGGGTCGGAGGGGTGGTCTGTCACGGCGGTGCAAGTGGGCGCCCAACTGGCGCTCGCCGGAGAACGGGAGGCGGAGGGGTCGCGTCTGCCCTCCCTGACAACCCTCTAGACATCTACCTTCCCCAGCTACTCCAACGCCGTGGCTGCGAAGTGCCCGGGTGGGTGAGTGGGAGAAGAGCCTGGTGCCCTTCGATCGGGGACGGCAAAGAAGGGCGCGATGACTAGGGGGGTGGATATCACGGCGGGGGCCACGATATCTCCCCAGATTTCATGGCGCCTCTTCTTATTTCAATACGTCCCTGGCCCCACTCCGGGCCGCGCACATGCCGCCGGCCATGATTTGAGCCCCCCCTCTTGGACGCCCCCCTCTTGGCCGCCCCCGATTCGAGGAGCATCACGTCAGGCAGATCTGCGAGGCCCCCGAGCTGTCCTCCAGGACTCCTCCGGTGGGAGAGAGGCGTCGGAGACCATGGCCGCCACCGTCGCCGGCGCCACCGCCACTGGACCCCTCCCTGCCCCGCCCCCGCCACCACCGCCGCCCGAAGGGCGGCGGAGGGCGGCGGCCGAGGTGCGCCATCGACCCCCAAACATTTCTCTCTCTCGAGAGCGCTGCGCAAAACCCTGCGACTGGCCCCTCCCGCCGAGACGCCGCGCGGCAGCTGGCGCCCCCGGCGAGGTCGGGCCGACGCGGCGGGGCCCTGGACCCAAGGCACGGGCACGGTGGCAGTCCGCCATCTGGCCGCAGACGTCCGCGAGGATAGCAACTTCCCCACCACGACCCCGAAGCGCCCCGCACCGTCGAGGGCCGCAGAGCGCGCGACGTCGCCGCGATGCGACGCCTTCAGGAGCAGCGGCTGCCACGCGCGAGGTGGGCCAGGCCAGCGACGGGCCCGTGGGTGCGGCACTGCCGCGCGCCGTCGCTGCGCCGTGGCCCCCGAGCAAGACTGCGCGGAGTCATTCGGCAGCAAGTTCGCGTGGCTCAGGCCCACGCCGAGCGCGGGATTCCCGCGCTGCCCATCTACACTGTCAGCGCGAGGCGCGGCCGCGCCCTCGCCCCCGTCCGTCCCTGAACGGCGCCGCCCGGCCACCTCTGACGGCGACGCGGGTGCAGGTCGTTTTCGCGACGCGCGCGGGGAGGTCGCGCCGGCTCCCTGCGTTACCGCCGCAGGCCACCGCCGCGCCACCGCTCTCGAGCGAAGCTGCGCGGCCCAACGCAGCAGAAGCACTCGAACGAGTCGAGCTGACAGCTGCCCCGGGAAGGCCGCGCCGACCGCGACCGCTGCAGCCGCGAGCCACGGCCGCGCCGTCGCTTCCTGGGGAAGCGGCGCGCTGACGCAGATGCGGCGTGCACGCGGGGCATGGCCTGCGGCCAGCGCAAAGAAGTTTGATGCCTCGCGCCCAGCGAGAGACCAGGCGGCCGCCGCGCGCCCGCGCCCTCGACTGCGCGCCCCCCCCCCCCCCCCCGCGGGAACCTGGGCGCAGGTCACGCGCGCGACCAGCGCGGGCATATCACTGTTCTGGGTTTGACCATAGTGCACCTGCGAGCCACGGCCGCCCTTCGCCCCAGAGCCAGAGCATCGCTGCGCGGGCGAACCCAAGAGCGCGAGCAGCGGGGGCGGGGCCCTGCATTCTTGCAGCGCGCGCGGCTGGGCAAGAGCAACATCTCGCGGCGCCCAGTGGCCTCATAAAGATCGCCGCGAATCGCCGCGCGCCCGCGCGGCGGAAGGCGGCCGGCCGCGCGCCCGCGGCGGGGCGGGCCGGCGGCGGCAAGATGACGCGACGTGGCACTAAGGCAAATCTCGCGGCCAAGAAAGACTGACATCTCGTGGCGACGCCCCGCGGCCTCGAGAAAAGATGGCGCGCCTCGCGTCGCCGAGCGCGCTCGCTCGGCGGAAAGCCTCTTGCCCGGCGCGCCAAATAGCAATCTGGCGCGCTTGTCGCGCGAACCACCGCGCCAACCTGCGCGCCTAATGTCGGCGGGCCCCCGCTGGCGCCCCCGCGCCGGAAGGCCCCGCCAGGCGCCCCCCCAGGCCCCTTGGCGGCGCTCTCCGCAGGGGCCTCCAGGGGGCGATTGTTCGCCAGCGGTGCTGCGGGGGCCTCCCAGCGCGAGGCTCCCGCGAAGGCCTCCTCGTCTTCGGCGTCAACTCCGGCCTGGGGCCCGCCTCGCCCGTCCGCCGACGCCCATGGCGCTCGCGCCAGGGTGCGAGATGGCGGCTCGAGGATGGCAAGCGAGCGACGTTCGGCCACGACCCCCCCGCTGCACCGCCACTCGCCCCGCCCCGCCCCGCCTGCCCGCTCGCCCCCGCGCGCCCCCCCGCCCGCCGGCGCGAGTCGCACTAAATCGCACTAGATCGCACTACATGGCATTAGATCTGGCACTCAATGGCACTGAATGGCACTGAGTCGCACGAAGTGGCGCTTCAATGCCATTTAGTGGATTTAGTGCCATTTATTGCAATTTGTTGACATCCCTCCCATGCTTCCTTTTTGGTCCTGCCTCCCTCCCTCCCCTCCCCTCTCCCAGCTTCCCTCGCCGGCGCTCCTGGCTGGCGCTTCTGGGTGCCGCCTCCGCCGTCCCCCTCCGGCGCCCCGCTCCTGGAGCTCTGCGCGCGTCGAGGAGATTTGGGCAGCGCGACGTGGCCCAGGCGTCCCGTCGGCGCGAGCCGCAGACGGCTGAGTCGGGCGTGCCCCTCTGCAGGAGGAGTATTCAAGAGTAGTCAAAATAGTACGTGGACGTTTTTTGTTATTGTTGTTTGTGACTATTTTCAACTATCTTGGAGTATGTTTGAATCTTTTTGTATTCTTTTGGTTTTTGCAATTCTCCGCCCAAGAGCTGCCTGTAGGAGGACATGTCCGACCTAAGCATGTGGCATTCCTGCAGGTGGCCCGTGGAGGAGCTCGGCGGGAGCCTTCCCAAAACGCTCCAAAAGTACACGCGCCAACATGGCGCGTCCCCCAAAACTGCCGAGAGTTCGCGCGCCAGACATAGCGGCCACAGGCACGCGCCTGAAGTGCCAGCCAGAACGTGCGCCAAAATCGCCAAAGCTGAATACTGGCCCTTCGGAGCTCTCAGTTCAAGCTCGCGAGGGCCGTCGGCACGTCATCCCTCCAAAAGACGAGTCCTTTTTGTCAACTGGGCCCCGCCACTCGGCGGCAAGCTGTGGCTTTTGGCTCGCACTCTTAACGAAGGGAAACGATTAAAAAACTTTCTGGGGCGGACGATTGAAACAAATGTTTCGCGGGCCTCCTCGCCCCCGCAATAGCGGGGGGGCAGGGCAGGCAGACGGGGGGCTGACAATTCCGGGATGCCTGGAAGGCCAGGGGGGGGGGGGGGGGCACGGGGTGGCGATCCAGGGCGCGGGGGCCACATCCTTCTCCTTTTCCTCCTTTTCCTCCTCCTCCTCCTCGTCCTTCTCCTCCTCGTCCTCCTCCTCCTCCTTTGTCTCCGCTTCCTCCTCCTCGTTCTCCTCCTGTTCGTCCTCCTCTCCCCCCCCGTCCCCAAGGACGAGGAGTGCTTACGTGCCACGTCGTGCTCTGCCATGCTACGCTTTGATCTTCAACGCCATGCTATGCAATGTTATGTTCGGGGCCGCTGTGCGATGCCATGCTTTGCGTTGCAAAGATTTGTGTTGCAATTCTTCACTACGCCACGCCACGCCATGCTGTGACATACTACGCTTTGCGGTGCTCTTCAAGCCATGCCATGCCGTGCTCTACAATGCATCGCGTACCCTTTCGGGATCATTGCCCTGCTCGACATCCGACTGTGCGAGTAGAGAGGGGATCTACGCCATGGTAAGGGATGGGAGGGAGGGTCGACTGTCATATATGACGCGAGCGCACCTAGCTTGTCCTCCCCCCTCCTCCTCTTCCTCCTCCTCCTCCTCCTCCTCCTCCTCCTCCTCCTCCTCCTCCTCCTCCTCATCCCCCACCTCCCAATCGCCGCGGCCGTCCGCAAGGACGACCGGCGGCCCCGCAAGGACGAGGGTGATCAAGCGCCTCTTCGAAAACCCCTTCTCTCAACTACTCCCTAATTGCCCCGTCCCCCCTCCGGAATCCTCCCCCCGCGGCCGCGGGTGATCAAGCGAGCGAAGGAGGACGAATAGAAAATCAATCCCCCAAAAGGGGCAAAAGCAAACGCCGGGGGGCGGACGATACAAAAATCAGTTTCCGGCGGCTGCATTCTATTAGTCCGCCCCACTCAATCATTTTGGGGGGTCCGGGGGGGGGGGCGATTTTTTTAATTGTTTCCCTGCATTACCTGGAACTTTTTTGCGCCCTCTTTTGGCGCGTATTTTTGGCCGACCTTTTTCGGCTGTCCCCTCTGGCGGGTGAGAGGGCTTCTTGGCCCGAAGGGCGCCCGCGCTCCCCGCCCTGAGGACCCTTCGCAGTTGTTTATTGCTCTGGCGCGCCGCATCTCCACGCTGCCGTATCCAGGACGCGCGATGGGGAGAGAAGAGGGAGAGGAAGGGGCAGAAGGGGGGAGGGATGGGCGGATGGAAGGAGTGAAGAGAGGACTGGTGGACGGAGAGAACTGGGGAGGGCGGAGGAGGAATGGGGGACAGACGGAGGGGGAGAGGAGGAAGACGAAGCGGCGGAGAAGGTGCGGGGGGGGGGACCAAGCAGCGGGGGAATGTAAACGGGCGCGACGACCCGCGTGGAGCAGGGGGCCCCTCCCAGCGCGAGTCGCCCGTCACGCCCCCGCCCCGCGAGCGCTGGGAATTCCAAGTCGAACTCGCCGCGGCGATCCTGGACAAATCGGAGTGCCGCGCGTTTCAGCGCTCAGGAGCCTGCCAGCGAGGCTTGAATGCATCATGCTCATTGCGTTGGGAAGAGAATGCAGTGGAGGCCCATGCCAAGAAACACCCTGCTTGCCTCCAGGGTGCCCTGGGCTTCTTGGGTTACGATGGTTTTGCGATGGAAAGCGTGACGTTCCCACGCCGAAAATCGACGCACGTCCTGGGGTCTCAGGGTCGGGTTTCTTGTGGAAGGTTTCTTGTGTACTGGCGCCTCCACTGCAGCGAAGGATCCGATTCCCTGGGATGGCTTCTGGGCGATGGAGCCCGGTGTTCGGCGCGAGGGTCGAGGGCCCGGGGTGTTCCGGGGGCCTCCCGTGTCCTCTTGGGGCCCCCAAACTGGGTGGTGAGATACCAGGTGGCGACCTGGAATCCCCAAAAAGGTCACCGCTGGGTTTGGGGACGCGGGGTCACCACCGGGTTTTGTGACTCCTGGACCCACCAGTGTCCGGGACATCCTCGGAAAACCGCACGAGTCCCCAAACCGGGTGGTGACACCAAATCGCCCGAGACTCACCGCCAGATGTTGTCACCACCACGTTTGGGGACTACCAAGTGTCCTCTTGGGGCCCCCTGGGGCTTCCTCTCTGAGGCCTCCTGGCATCCCCTAGGGTTATCTGAGGCCTCCCGTCCCCTCTCCGCCCCTCCCAGGCTGCCGACGACGCGGGCCCTCGAGCTCTCGACCCCGTCCCCAGGACCCTCTTCCTTCGGCCTGGAGCGGCCCCCAGAGGGTAGACTCCTGGGCAAAACGCCCGTCGCGGACGTCTCCTCGACGCCCAGAGCTTCGGGGTCCATCTGCGCCCCGCCCTCCCGCCTCTCCGCTCGAGTGTTCCTCCTCCTCCTCCTCCGCCTCCGCCTCCGCCTCCGCCTCCTCCTCCTCCTCCTCCTCCTCCTCCGCCTCCTCCTCCGCCTCCTCCTCCTCCTCCTCCTGCTCCTCCTGCCAGAGGTAGCCCTGGCCCCGGTCCGAAGCTGCCCCAGCTTTCTTCTGCAGAGGAGGCCCGGAGCACCCCTCACGAGGCCTTCCTGGGCCCCAGGGGGTTCCAGAATTGTGCGAAAGGCCGGAGGCACTTTGAGCCGGGGCCACTTGCCACGGGACGGAACCGAGTCTTGGCTCCTGCGGTTCCCCTGGAACCAGCTCTTTTTCCAGCGTCGGGTCTGAGAGTCCCAGGGATCGTGGAGGGCCCTGGGCCCGAAGGCGCAAAAATTTCAAGGACTTTTTTCGAGGGAGTAGAATCCACCCTGACCCCACTCCCATCGTGTTTACTAAACGGCTCCGGGCGTTTACTGAACAGCCCTGTCCTGTTCGATTCCTCCCTTGGGTGCGCTTCTAAAACGGCTCCGCTTGTCGGGGTTCTTACGAGCGTTTTTTCTGCTCTCGTTTTCTCCATGCTATATCACTTCTGGCAGCCGCCGAGTGCTGATCCCACGGCCACTGAGGCAGCCGCGGCCCCTGCCGCCGCGACGAAGCCCGCCTCCGAGCCGGCCGCCGCCGCCCCGGCCGCCGCGGAGCCCGCCCCGGTGGACGCAGCAGCGACGAAGCCCGCCTCCGAGCCGGCCGCCGCCGCCCCGGCCGCCGCGGAGCCCGCCCCGGTGGACGCAGCAGCGACGAAGCCCGCCCCCGAGCCGGCCGCCGCGGAGCCCGCCCCGGTGGACGCTGCAGCGACGAAGCCCGCCCCCGAGCCGGCCGCCGCGGAGCCCGCCCCGGTGGACGCAGCAGCGACGAAGCCCGCCCCCGAGCCGGCCGCCGCGGAGCCCGCACCGGTGGACGCAGCAGCGACGAAGCCCGCCCCCGAGCCGGCCGCCGTGGAGCCCGCCCCGGTGGACGCTGCAGCGACGAAGCCCGCCCCCGAGCCGGCCGCCGCGGCTCCCGTGGACGTGGAGCCCGCCCCGGCGGATGCAGCAGCTTCAACGAAACCCGCCCCAGAGCCGGCCGCCGCTTCCCCAGTGGACGCGGAGCCCGCCCCGGCGGATGCAGCAGAGCTGGTGCCCCGGGGCCTGCTCTTTCGAAAGTCTGAAGCCCGAAACGGCTTTCCACGGGCCTGGCAGTCCTTCTCTTGGCCCTTCCTTTTACTAATACGGCAAATCGTGCGATTGCTAATACTATCCGCTACCATCGGGGGCGGCACAGAGGGGGGTGATGACTAACCCGAGTAAGCGATTAAGGACCCCCCCCCCCCCTCTCCGGTGAAAGGATAACGCACCCGGCACCCGGAAGCGTTATCCTGGCACCAGGAGGGGGTACACCAGATCGCACGGGTCCCACGGAGTCCCGCAGGTCTCGCAGGTCCCACAAGTTTCAAGTTTTCTCAGCTTTTTCTTAGCTTTTCTTAGCCTTTCCTTAGCTTTCCTCAGCTTTTCTCAGCTTTTTCTTAGCTTTTCTAAGCTTTTCCTTAGCTTTTCTCAGCTTTTCCTTATTCGTATTCGTATTCTTATTCTCACTACAATTCTAATTGGGATGCCACCCGAGGCGGGGCGCTGGAATTATTAATTTTCCTTCCATTTGCGCGGTGCTAATAATATCGCTCGGCGAAACCCCCCCCAAATAATTATTCAATTACGGCGCGGTGCTAATGATAACGCCGGGGGGTTCCTTAATTGCTTCTCCGGGTTAGGGGGGGTGGATATTATGGCGGGGGCCATGATATTTCCTCAGATTTCATGGCGCCTCTTCTTATTTCATTGCGTCCCTGGCCCCCCCCGCTGGGCCGCGCACATGCCGCTGGTCATGATTTGCACCCCCCCCTCTTGGACACCCCCCTCTTGGCCGCTCCCGATATTAGTTAGTGGCTACGATCTATAAAGGGTTGTTTACTAGGTACCGACAAGTAGCTACAATGTTCTATTGATATATCAAGGTACTGATGCTACTACGAATTCCAGTACTCAGGCTACTGATACGAATACTGCTACTTTTACGACTATCACTAACAATATTATTATTACTCTGCTGCGTCTACTACTATTTTCACTATTGTGATTCCTATTCCTACTACTAACGCTACCACTACGTGTACGTCTACATCTACTAGTACTACAACTACTACTTCTATTACTTCTACTACTCGTACTACTACTACTCGTACTACTACTACTACTGCTACTGCTACTACTACTACTACTACTACTACTAGTACTCCTACTACTGCGACGACAACAACAACAACTACTACTACTACTACTACCTCTACTGTTGCTACTACTACTACTACTGCTACTACTACTACTACTACTACTACTTCTACTGTTTTTACTACTACTACTACTTCTTCGACGACTACTACTACTATAACTTCTAATACTACCACCACTACTACTCCTACGACTACGATGGGTACTACTACACCTGCAACCACCACAACCACCACTACTACTACTACTACTACTACTACTACTACTACTACTACTACTACTACTACTACTACTACTACTACTACTACTACTACTACTACTACTACTACTACTACTACTACCACTACTACTACTACTACTACTACTACTACTACTACTACTACTAGTAGTAGTACTAGTACTAGTAATACCTCCACTACCACTGCCACTACTACTACTACTAGTTCTATTATTAGTACTACTCGTAGTGTAGTATTACTACACATCCTTTGGATATGAGTAGTATTCTGGTGCTACTCGCATTACAAGTACGAGTGCTAGTCTAGGTAGTAGTAGTAGTTAGTAGTAGTAGTAAGTAGTAGTAGTAGTAGCAGCACTAGTAATAGTAGTAGTAGTAGTAGTAGTAGTAGTAGTAGTAGTAGTAGTAGTAGTTAGTAGTAGTAGTCGTAAGGTAGTAGTAGTAGTAGTAGTAGTAGTAGTAGTAGTAGTAGTAGTAGTAGTAGTAGTAGTAGTAGTGTATAGTAGTAGTAGTAGTGATAGTAGTAGTAGTAGTAGTAGTAGTAGTAGTAGCTGTAGTAGTAGTAGTACTAGTAGTAGTAGTAGTAGTAGTAGTAGTAGTAGTAGTAGTAGTAGTAGTATTATTAGTAGTAGTAGTAGTAGTAGTAGTAGTAGTAGTACGACTACTACTACTAACGCGGTTGCTACTGCTACTGCTGCTGCTACAATTACTACTACTACTACTACTACTACTATTATATTATTGCTACTACTACTATTAATACTACTATGACCGCTCTCACTGTTACTGTCACTTCTCTTTCTCTATGTACTACTACCACTGCTACTACTACTCCTATTACTATCAGGACTGTTATTACTACTCGGACTACTTCTACTAGTACTAGTACTACTACTGCTACAACAACAACAAACACTATTACTATTCGTACCACTAGTACTGTTGGTGCTAGTACCACTACCACTACTACTACGACGACTACTACGGCTGTTACTACACCTACCACCATCGCCACCACCAGCATTGCGATTACTACCACTACTACTACGACGACTACGACTACTGCTACTACTACTACTACTGCTACTACTACAGATGCTACATTTTTCTACCATGTGTACTATCAGTATTTCTCGTGCTAGTAGTAGTAGTAGTAGTCGTAGTAGAAGGAGTAGTAATTGGAGTAGTGGTAGTAGTCGCATTACTATTAGCAGGGGTGGTCGTAGTATTTGTAGTAGTAGTAGTAGTAGTAGCAGTAGTAGTAGTAGTAGTGGTAGTAGTAGTGGTAGTAGTAGTAGTGGTAGTAGTAGTAGTAGTAGTAGTTGTAGTAGTAGTAGTAGTAGTAGTAGTAATAGTAGTAGTAGTAGTAGTGGTAGTAGTAGTAGTAGTAGTCGTAGAAGTAGTCGTAGTAGTAGTCGTAGCAGTAGTAGTAGTAGTAGTAGTAGTAGTAGTAGTAGTAGTCGTAGTAATGGTAGTAGTAGTAGTAGTAGTAGTAGTAGTAGTAGTAGTAGCAGTGGTAGTAGTGGTGGTAGTAGTAGTAGTAGTAGCAGCTGTAGTGGTAGTAGAAGTAGTAGTCGTCGTAGTAGTAGTAGTAGTAGTAGTAGTAGTAGTAGTATTCGTTTTGATAGTAGTGGTAGTAGTGGTAGTAGTAGTAGTAGTAATCGTAGTAGCAGTAATAGTAGTAGTAGTAATTGTAGTAGCAGTAGTAGTAGTAGTAGTAGTAGTAGTAGTAGTAGTAGTAGTAGTAGTAGTAGTTGTACTGATACTACGACGACTATTGCTACTGCACCTGCTGCTGCAGCTACTACTACTACTTCCGCTCCTACTTCTGCTGCGACTACTACTACTATCACGACAAGCACTACTACTACTACTACTACTACTGCTACTACTACTACTACTACTACTGCTACTACTACTACTACTACTACTACTACTACTACTACTACTATCACTATTACTACTTCTACGACGACGACTACTACTACTACTACGACTACTACTACTACTGCTACTACTACTTTGTACTGCTACTACTACTACTACTACTACTATGAATTACTACTGCTACTACCACAGCAGTAGCTACTACTACTACTACTACTACTACTACTACTGCGGCTGCTACTGCTACTGCTACTACTACTACTACTACTACTACTACTACTACTACTACTACTACTACTACTACTACTACTACTACTACTACTACTACTACTTACTATCACTACTACTACGACTACTACTACTACTACTACTACTACTACTACTACTACTACTACTACTACTACTACTACTACTACTACTACTACTACTACTACTACTACTACTACTGCTACTACTGCTGCTACTACTACTACTACTACTCCTACTACTACTACTGCTACTACTACTACTACTACTACTACTACTACTACTAGTACTACTAGTACTGCTACTACTACTACTACTACTACTACTGCTACTGCTACTACTACTACTACTACTACTACTACTATTACTACTACTACTATTACTACTACTACTACTACTACTACTACTACTACCACTACCACTACTCTTACTAATAGTATTACTTTTAATACTATTACTACTACGTGTACTACTGTGTGAAATTCACTACTCGTGCTACTGCTGCTACTGCTTCTACTCCTACCATTAATGTTACTACTGATTCGTAAGCGGTCTACTGCTATCAGCGATACGAAGCCCACGAATAAAACTGATATCAATAAAGCTGACACCAATACTCTAGAGGCTTCGCATAACTTCACCTGCCGATCTTGAAACGATATTCAGGCGAGTTGCCCTGGTCAGAAGTTTGGAGGAGCATGCAGTTCAATCAAGGGCTGGGGAAGCCGTCATATCCCTAAGAGGAGGAGGATCGAGGCGGACTCGGAGGCGGAGGTGGAGGAGGAGGGAGGGAGGAGGAGAAATAGGTGGATGAGGAAGATGAGGAAGAGGAGGGCGAACATGATAATCAGAAGCCTAAGCCTTTTGGATGCTTCTCGGAGTCTCTTCGGATATCTCTCGAGAGCTTCTTGGGGTCCTCTTGGGGCGTCTTGGGGGCTTCTTGACGTTCCCAGGGGCCTCCCAGAGCGTCTTGGATGCCTCGGGGGAGCCTCTTGGGGCCTCTTTGGAGCCTTTTTGGGACCTGTTGGTGGCCTTGGAGGTCATCTTGGGACCACGGAGGAGTTCGATCAAAGAAGGGGGGGTCCCTGATGAAGCCCCCCCCTTCTCCAGAGCTCTTGAAATCGCCTTCTGGACCCCTCTTGGAGCGCTCTTGGAGCGCTCTGTGGGCCGTCTTGGGGCCCTCTTGGGCTCCTCTTGGGACTCTCTGGGCCATCTCGGGGATAAGGGCCGTCGAAAGCGAAACGGCGAGAAGGCAAAGCACGTTGATTTTCCTTGGGTTCCGAAGGATTTTGGCTTCTTGGTGGCTTCATCGGGCGGCTCCGTGGTCACTTGGAGCCGTCTTGGGGCGGTCTTGGGGCCTCTTGGAGCATGTTGGAAGCCGTCTTAAGCTATCTTGAGCCACCTTGAGCCATCTTGGAGGTCATCCTCGGCTCGCTGAGGCCCTTTTGGAATCATCTTAGGCCATCTTGGACGCTCCAATGGGTCGCGTGTCGCCCCGTCCAGGTCAAGGAGAGGGGGTATAGGGGGAGGGATCTACTCACCCGCTCGCAAGCCGTCTAGCTCACTCCCACCCGCCCTCCCAACACATAAAGTATCATCCGAGCCTGAGTATGTTCAGTGGTCGTCTTTGGATGGACAGCAACTGGGAACCAAAGCTGACCCCGGGTGCGCGACGCTTGGGTGAGGTGCGCCACGCGTGCCTGGGGCGCCACGCGCGCCAAGCACCCCTGGGGCCCGAGCGTGCCAGGCACGCCTGGTGCGCCAGATACGCCATGTGCTCCGAGTGCGCCAGGTGTGCCGCACACTACAGCCGCGCCAGGTGCGCCACGTTCGGGGCACGTGCAGAGAGCGTCATGTGCGCCTGCGCACGTGACAGCACATATCGGGGAACATGTCGGCCCCCGCCATCCTTGTCGAAAAACAATGCCCATCATTGTGTCTGGTGGAGCTGCGCACAGGAGGCCATGCGCCACCACCCTCGCCGTCCCGGTCAAAAACCACTTGACAGTGATCGCGGGATGGTCGCGCATGATCCAGATTTAGCTGCGAGGTTCATGTTGTATTGTTTTTGTCAGGGATGGTAGCCCTGCGCACAGCAGGGAACATGATGACACCCCCGGCGTCCCTGGCAAAAACAATGCAAAGTGCTCGCGGGCTTCACGAACATGACTCAAGACTTTGCCCCAAAGTGTACTTTGCATTTTTTTTGACAGGGACGCTGGGAGGGTGGGGGGCGCACCGGGTTGGCCGCGCATGCTCTAAATGTGGAGGCAGAGTGCGGTTGTATTGTTTTTTGACAGGGATGGTGGGGGGCGGGCCCGCATGGAGTCGGCATGGTTCCGGGTTGGCCGCCGGCCTGGTAGGGGAGGGGGTGTATATTCATAAGGAACAGTGATCAACCCTTCCCAAAGGGGAAGAAGGAGGTTGGAAGAGGAAGCGCTCTCAACCACTCGTGCCTAGATGGCTGTTGCATTCATACATCTACGGGTATGACTACCATATCTGGTTGTTAATTCGAGTATCTTCTGCTGACGTTGATGCTACGACTATCCAGAATTCCATTTCGAATACTTCTCTTATACGAGCCGTGCTTTGTATGGCTAATTTAGGTATTTGGTACGAATACGAAGGCCAATTGCTTAATACCACACGTTGTGACAATACACATGCGAATGCTGGTGCGAATGCCAATGTTTGTAGTATAACTGGAATATTAAGTCTACTACCAAACCTAATAGGAATATTACTTTTACGGATCACAATCTCATGATTTTGATGCGACTATTTCACTGATCGCACAGTGCGTATTCAGTTTCGAGCTTGAACGATATCAGTACTCATTTTCATCATCGTAGTACCACCAATCGAAGGTGAGGGGGTGAGATCGCGGTGAAACGGAGGGCCCCCCACACCGGGATATCGGTTTCGTGTTCGTGTCGTGCGTGCGGGCGAGGCGAAGCTGCGTCGGCGGGCGGGGAGGAATTAACCCTCACTTGCTGGGGCGCCGCCAGGCCGAAAGACCCCCCCCAGGTCCAGCGGTGGCCAGGGGTGTCCCGCCGTGGTGCCAGAGGAGGAAAAGGTACCGATACCGCTACCCTTTGCCCGTCTTCCCCTCTTTTCGTCCTCCTGGGAGGCCCTCGTCGCCACCGCTGGATTCGTTTCGAAATCATGGTCAGAACGCACCCCGGGAGAGGTCCAGGGCGTAACAGTATTGGTACTTGATGGTTTCCCCAGATCCCTGTCCCCATCCCATCCCCGTCCCGATCCCAATCCCATCCCACCACCCCAGGTTGAGGATAGTTATGCCCCTCGAACCTCGAAGGGAACAGCCTGCATCCCCATCTGTAGGACGGGGGGGCGAGCCGGCCAGTGGGCCCCAGTGCCACGCCAGCGGGGATGGGGATCGGTCAGACGATGCTCTCCGCCCCGAGCCTCCAGGCCCCCGTCTGCGCCCCCTCCTGCCTCCGGCGCGCGGCGCGCCCTCCCCCGACTTCCCGGCATCCCCCCCCAAGGCGGCTGCCGGCGAGGCGGCGCTGGATGCGCCCCCCGCCGACGCCAGGCCCCTGGAGGCCAAGGCCGGCGGGCACCCCGGGCGACGCGGAGAGACGGGGCCGTCTTCGCCGACTGTTGGCGCGCGAGCTGCCAGGGCACGGTCGCGCGCGGGCGCCCTCGCGTCCGGTGTCGCGAGCCGCGCTGCCGGCCCGCGCGAGCCGCCGCGGGAGGTCGCCACGCCATCTCGCGCAAGAGCCGTTTCTCTCTCCGTCGCTCACGTGGGGAGGGAGCAGCCGCGAGCGCCCCCGTTCCGCTCTCCCCTCCCCCCTGCCTGCCTGCCGTCAGCCCGTCCCCCTTCCCATCCCCACCTCGGCCCGTCCCCTTTCTCCCTCTCGCTCCCCTCCCGACACCAAGGACTTCCTCCTCTTCCTCCTCCTCCTCCTCCTCCTCCTCCTTACTTCCGAGGCGGGAATCTATACATGACCACCGCCCCGAGGATCAGTCTTCGGGGGCAGGCGGTGGCTATGGACCTCTTCGGGCCCTCGGGGGGCCCAATTGTGTCCATATCCGCCGCCCGCTGGGCCACCAGGACGTCGGTTCACGGGCGGTGGACGTGGACAGCTCCCCGCCTCGCACTGCTTGACGACGTGCGCAGTGGCATCGGCCGTCCCCGATTCATCGCGCTCGCTCCCCAACTCTTTCTCCTCGGGCGTGTCCTCCTCCTCCTCCTCCTCCTCCTCCTCCTCCTCCTCCTCCTCCTCTGGGATTCCAAGAAAGCTTTGCGCCTTCCTCGATGCATTCCTAGACGACTTCGACTTCGGCGTCTCCATAATGCCCATGAACGATCTGGCCTCATCCTCAGGATTCCTCGTAGCATCCGAACGCGCAGACACCGACTTCGCCCTGCCTCCCCCCTCCATATAGTGGGTCCCGCCGCCCGTGCAGACGTCGGGGCATGGCAGCGCACGCTCCTGCCACTGCTGCAACGTAACCTTCGGCACCTCCGCCGTCGGCTCTAGGCTGCGGTAGTTCTTGTCCTTCAGCGTCAGCCAGATGAGCGGGCGCTTGGACGATTCCACCCTTGGTGTGGGTGGCGTGTACAATACCCATCTCTCATCAGTCGTGTTGGATTTTCAGATGTAGATGTCTGCTTTAGCTGCCGGCGCCGCCGCCTTGACCGCCGCGGTGTTGGCCAGTGTGCCCGCCTTCGCCATGTTCTCTGCCATGGACGTCGACGTGCCATACTTCTTCGCATTCCGCTTCAGCTCCCCTGCCACCAGCAGGCGCAACTGCGCTTGTAGCTTTCCGCCATTCTTGTCATCACCTGGGGCCAGCTTCTTAGGTTTGTCACTCTTGGCCGTACTCACACAAACGAAGAGACAGTCTCCAGCTCCTCCCTTATCAGCTTCAGTAAACCACTCTGCCCACGGAGGCTTCACTTCCCTCCGTACACGCTGTGGTGGGGGACCTACAGAGCTTCCAGCGGGCGCAGGTCGGCGTTGTGGTGGCTGAGCTTTGTCCTCAGCCTTGTCCTCATTCTCAACTTCGACAAGCTGGTCGATTGGATCCGTGGGGACCTCCTTCTCGACCTCCTCCTGCTTCACTTCGGCCCCCTGCCAGTGACTGCCAGTGGCTGGACCGTCTCCCAGACACTCTTGGACTTGCCCGTGGGCCCCTTCTTCTTCCTGTCGGGCGTCGTGTTGTGTGCGAGAGACACAGTGATTCCCGAGGAAAATGTGTATACAAGTATATATATATATATATATCCTCTCGTTGTCAGCCGCTCCACAGGCAAGATCAGCACGGAAATGCCAGCGGTGACGACCAGCACGTTGGATACGCGATATGTTCGTGACCCCCCGATCCTTGGCCCACGTCTCAAGATCTGGGTCGAGGCTCCAGCTGTCGGGCGTCTTGACCGCACACCCACCGGGGTAGTAAGTATGTCTGACACCAGAGTTCCTTCAGCCAGAACGCCCAACGACGCATCATCCGAGGGCCTGCAGCACAACCTGCCCTTGGCTCCCGTCGCTGTCGTCAGGACACGTCTGGAGTAGCCCTTTGGGGTCTCTTCGTCTCTCTGCTTGAACCACTTCGGCACCACCTGGGAGATTTGCTCATTGAGAAACACACCTGTCGGCAATGGATCATCGAGGAACTTCTGCGCATCCGAGCTCTTAACAATGATCAGACACGTGATCTCAGACTCATAGTTCAGCGCTCCCTTGGTCTTGAGGACCAACTTCTGGAGCTCAGCATTCAGGATGAGGGCTGCAACGCAATCGGGCGCTGGGCCACACGAGCATACAACTCATCAGCAGCGAAATCTCGAGCAACCGTAAGACGAAACTGGGCTGTCGCCGTCGGAGTCGTCTGAGTCGTGATAGCTATATTGTCCTTTACACCCTTGGGGAGGCCCACCTGAGACGGAGCTTGTCCACCAAGCTTCACATCAAGGCAGCGCTGAGTCTCAGCACCTTTGCCTCCCGCGGAGGCCTCCACCAGAATGTCTGTCTTGCTACCCTCATTGCATAGGGCGGCCGTGGCGTTGAAGACCAAGATAGTAGCCGAACGATCCTTCCCTCCGAGGGCGTCCAGTCAGTTCCTGGTGTCGAGGTACTCTCTGTTGTTCTGGCACACGATCAGCTGCGGCTTCTCATAATGACAGTCATGCAAGTGCTTGGCATGCCAAATACGGCACTCTCCCCACTGAGACTTGATAATGCGCACATCTCTGGACACAGCCTTCTTGGCCACCCCGTCGGCGACGAGGTGGCAGCAGCAGTAGTTGGAGATGACCCCGTCTTGGCATCACCCACGAGCTGTCGTAGCCGATCCCTGACCTGCTGGTCTGTGGGACGTATCCCTGCGTCATTACGCTTCTTGATGAGATTGCGGACGGCGGCCAACAAAGGCGGATCTTGCCTCTGCTGGCTGGTGGCACGCTTAGCACGCTGCCGCCCTGTGGTATTAGGAGCACGCTGGCTGACCCCGGACTTGCGCGCGAGCACGGCGAGAGTGTCCTGCAGCTCTGCGACCTCAGCAGCAAGCAACCGTCGGCGACCCTTGACCTTCGATCCCTGCAGCCCAGCATTCCGCCCACCACCTCCCCCGAGGAGCGGGTCGTCTATCCATGACAAGCATGCGCTAGCATATTCAGTATTCGACGCATTGAATACCATAGTATCTGAAATACTCCCATTGAAATAGTCGATACATCCCAAAGTATCGTCGCCCACCTGCATCTGCATCTCGCAAGGGGCGAGACCCACCGATCCCACTGGGCGGGTGCAGGTCTTGTCGGTCTTGTCGTAGTTGGTGTCGTACTTGCTGCATCTTGTATTGTACTTGCTGTCGTACTTGTCGCCGCACTTCTGAAGAGCAGCCTTGGTAATGATCATTCCCCAGTCAGAGCTTGCCGTCCTGGCGAGGTACGGCGCCGATTTCGGCGGCACGCCCGGGTGCCCGGTTGCCCGGGTGCCCGGGTGCCCCAGGTGCCAGGTTGCCCAGGTGCCCGGGTGCTCAGGTGTCTTATATCCCTATAGCCCTATAGCCCTATAGCCCTATAGCCCTATAGCCCTATAGCCGTATAGCATTATAGCCTTATAGCCCTATGGCTCTATAGCCCTATAGCCCAACAGCCCTATAGCCCTGTAGTCCTATAACCCTATAGCCCTACAGCCCTGTAACCCTGCAGCCCTATAGCCCAATAGCCCTATAACTCTATAGCCCTATAGCCCTATAGCCCTACAGCCTTAGCCGTATAGCCCTATAGCTCTATAGCCCTATAGCCCTATAGCCCTATAGCCCTATAGCCCCATAGCCCTATAGCCCTATAGCCCCATAGCCCTATAGCCTTATAGCTCTATATACCTATAGCCCTATAGCCCTGTAACCTGATAGCCCTATAGCCCTACGGTCCTACAGCCCTCTAGTCCCATAGCCCTATAGGCCTATAACCCTATGGCCCTATAGCCCAATAACCCTGTAGCCCCAGAGCCCCAAAGCCCCATAGCCCTATAGCCCTATGGCCCTATAGCCCTATAGCCCTATAGCCCTATAGACCTATAGCCCTATGGCCCTATAGCACTATAGCTTCATAGCCATAGCCCTATTGTCCTAAGAAGATTCAGATTGGATGTTTTTTCCGGTATCATGTTGTGTTAGGGTATTGGTTGACGTCCATGTTTTGTGGTATCCAGTACGCCTAAGAGCGGATTCCACTCTGATTCTCGGCACTGGTGCTGGCAAATCTTCCAATCGGGGATCCTCGTATCGTAATTGTTTCTCCACACGTAGTTCTTGATGATTCGACTGTAAACCTCGATGATCCACACATGGATTTTGATCAACCCGAGGACCGTTTGGCTATTGGCGCCCCCCGGCCGCGGCGCGGCCAGCGGGCTTACGCAGTCCCCCCCGTCCCGTACCGTCCCGTCCTGTCCCGTCCCTCCTTCTCTTCGTCCTCTTCCGCTTCCTCTGCTCCTAACTTTCTATGTGTCTGCTCCGCCTGGTCTGAGCCAGGTCCGGCCACTGTTCGCAACGGTGGTCGCATCGCATCGCATCGCATCGTTCCTCGCCCGAAGAGGGAATACACGACGGTCGGTGGAAGTACGTAGTTTTGGGTTCACATATCCCAATCTACTTTAGGCGCTTTCCTACTTCACGGATCGAGTGGTTTCCCTCTTTCCATCGTCTTCAGGGTGAGGGCGGAGACCCAATCTATTTGCAACGCCTTCCCACTTCATGTTTCTACCCACTTCTTCCGCCCGGCGGGTAAGACGGCATGAGCACAACCTTTCGGAGGTCCGCCCAGATTTATTGGATCGGCGCCGGATCTGCCCGGCGGCACCTCTGGCTCCGCGCGGCTCTTCGAAAGTTGATGTTTGTGCAGAATGAGCGCGTTCCGTTGCCAAGTGAGGCGGCGCTGGCTTCATGTTTCTGCGGGAACTTCCCCCGACCCATGGATTCCTCTCGCTTCGCGGGGTGCACGTCCAGAATGTGCAGAGTATGTGCGTTTGGGCTCTCCTGGGTGCCTTTTGGAGGCATCTTGGGACGTCTTCGGGCTGCTCGGGGGCCTGTTGGGGACCTGTTGGGGACCTGTTGGGGCGTGTTGAGAGCGTCTTCGGCAGGCTAGCGCCTTCGAAGGCCGTCTTGGGGGCTTCTCTGGGCCGTCTTGAGCCTACTGTCTGACAGCCGTTGTGGGGAGTCTTGGGCAGTTGGGGGCCCTCTTGGGCCGTGTCGGGGCCCTTTCGGGGGCTTCTTTGGCCGGCTTGGGGCCGTCTTGGAGGCTTCTGGGGCTGTCTTGGGGTGCCCAGAGTCAGAGAAGGCGAGAACGCTGGCATCAATCAATTTTTTGGAATATGGAAGTGCTCTTGGGAGTCCTCTTGGAGCCCACTTGGGCCGTCTTGAGTGCCTCTTGGGCCGTCTCGGAGGCTTCTTTGAGCCATCGTGAGCCATCTTGAGACCCTGCAGAGCCGGCTCGAGGCCCTCTTCGATTTTCAAGAAACCGAGGAGTCAATGTTAGAAGTTTTTTGCTCAACCATCCTGTGTTGAGTTCGGTCTTCGTTTTGAATCAACAGCGCCCCGCGTCCTCCTCCTTCTTTCTCATCCTGCCCCCTCCTCCCTCCTATCCCTGCATCTGCTCTCCGCAGGTAAAACGTTTCGGCACACCCCTCACGTCTCGTGACCCCACAGGGCGCTCCACCGAGACCCAAGTGGCAGCGCCCGCATGTCACCACCGCACCTGTTTCGACACATACCTCACACGTTTCGTGGCACCATAGGGAGCTACACCTAAGGCCCCAGTGGCAGCGCCCGCATGATACCGCCGCGCCCATCTCGGCGCACCCCTCACACGTTTCGTGGCCCCATAGGGAGCTCCACCAGAGGCCCCAATGGCAGCGCCCGCATGGTACCGCCGCACCCGTTTCGACACATCACTCACACGTGTCGTGGCCCCATATGGAGCTCCACCGAAGGCCCCAGTGGCAGCGCCCGCATGGCACCGCCGCACCCGTTTCGACACGTTCCTCACACGTTTTCTGGCACCACAGGTATCCCCACCGAAGGCCCCAGTGGCAGCGCCCGCATGGCCCCATAGGGAGCTCCACCGAAGGCCCAGGTGGCAGCGCCCGTATGGCACCGCCGCACCTGTTTCGGCACCCCTGTCACACGTTTCGTGGCCCCACAGGGAGCTCCACTGACGGCTCCAGTGGCAGCGCCCGTATGGCACCGTCGCACCCATTTCGGCCTATTCATCACACGTTCTGTGGTTCCATAGGGCGCTCCACCGAAGGCCCAAGTGGCAGCGCCCGCATGGCACCGCCGCATCAATTTCGGTACACCTCTCAGTGGCAGTGCCCGCATGGCACCGCCGCTTTCGGCACACCTCTCACACGCTGCGTGCCCCCATAGGGAGCTCCACCGACGGCCCCAGTGGCAGCGCCCGCATGACACCGCCGCGCCCATTTCGGTATACCCCTCACACGTTTCGTGGCCCCATAGGGAGCTCCACCGAAGGCCCAAGTGGCAGCGCCTGCATGGCACTGCCGCGCCCACTCCGGCACACCCCTCGCACGTTTCGTGGGCCCATAGGGAGCTCCATCGAAGACGACACTCGCAACGGCGGTACTCACAATTGCATACGGTGGGGTCCTTCGCCAGGTATTTCTTGGGCCTCAGATTGAGTCCATCACGTTTGCTCTGTGGATGGGGCGTTGCTCCGGGGGGGGCGCCTTCGCAGTCCTGCCTCTGGCTACACGCTCGCTTCTTCTGGACGTGGATCTGACGCCCACGTGCCATATCCACGGATCCTGAATCCATGTTAGCGCGTGCCCGAGGACTTTGACTGCGAAGCGGGCTACTCCAATTGGGTTGCTGGGTGGTCTGCGGACAAGAAGGTGTTCTGCTGCGAGAAGGAGCAGAAGGGCTGCGAGGCCTGGGGGGTTGCTGAGACAGATCCGATGTTGTTCAGTCGAATCGTCTTGTGGGACTTGGGCTAATCAGGATGTTCATGTTCTCATTTCGGCGCTCTCTCCGAGCCCCGGCTGGCGGGAAGCCCGTTCTCCTTTGGGCTTAATCGTCGACAGTTGAGAGGAGATTGGTAGACAGGACATTATGCGCTGAGCAAGTGGGATGATGTAGGATTCGGCTAGCCTGGATGTGGCGTCAGTGTTTCGGCGATCTGGACCGAAAAGACCCATGGATGCGGTGCCAGTGTGCAAGCATCGCGCGATTTTTTCCTTGAAAGGACGCGGGCCCAGGGTCATGTTTTGATTCGTAAGCTGTCCCTTGTCCTCAACTTGTGTAGGCCTGGCGCAATTTTTCGATAAATAACGAGGTTGCGTAGGGCCAGCGAATGAACATGTTGAGAATGTCCCGACAGAAGCGCTTGTTTTACATGATTTGTTTTGGTTGTCTCAGGCGAAACGCTTGCAGAGTTTCAGGAGTTCTCGAGCGAAACGCTTGATCTGCGGACTCCATCGAGGATGTCTCGAGCGACACGCTTGTTCTGCAAACAATGGGGACATGCGCTTGGCGCTTGTGCACTCTGCACGTGTTTTCACCCGTCCAGGCCACCTATGCCAGAGCATATTGCGAGGATGTCTCGAGCGAGAACACCGTCAGAGAGTGAATCGCGAGGAAGTTTGGACCGGGAGCCTCGTCTGTGAGAAGGAGGAGGAGGAGAAGGAGGATGAGGAGGAGGAGGAGGAGGAGACGGAGCTTAAACCGTATGTTTTTTTTCCCAACCATGTTGTGGTGTTGGGTCTTCGGTTTGAAGAGACACCACCCCGCGTCCTTCTCTCCTTTCCTCTTTTCCTCCCCCTCCCTCTCCTATCCATGCCTCTGCCCTTCGCATGTCTGTGTTTCGGCGAACCCAGTACAACGCTTCGTGGCCCCGTAGGGAGCTCCACCGACGGCACCAGCTGAAGGGTCCGCATGGCGGCGCCGCCTCATTTTGGCGCACCTCTCACACGGTTCGTGGCCTCATAGGGAGCTCCACCGACGGCCCAAGTAGCAGGGCCCACTTGGCGCCGCCCCATTTTGGCGCACCCCTCACACAGTTCGTGGACCCATACGGAGTTCCACCGAAGGCACCAGTGGCAGGGTCCACATGGCGGCGCCGCCCAAATTTGGCGCACCCCTCACACTGTTCGTGGCCTCATAGGGAGCTCTACCGAAGGCCCAAATAGCAGGGTCTTGGAGCTCGAGCGCAGCGTAACCTTCGAGGGATCGTGGCCCTGGGAGCGCAAACCCAGCGTGAGAGCGCGGATTCAGCGGAGAAGACTTGCAGAGCAGGGTGCATCGTCCCTTGGCGTGTCCCATGGCGCATCGCCTGGCACGTTTCCTGGCGCGTCCCCTGGCACGTCTGCGGCGCGTCCCCCGGCACGTGCCCCGGCACGCTCTATGGCCTGGCACGTTCCCTGGCACGTTCGGTGGTGCGCCCGCCTTGCACGTCGCGCGGCGCGTCCCCTGGCACGTGCTCCAGGACGTCCATTGGCACGTTCCGTGGCGCATCCCCCTGGCGTGTCGCGCGGTGCGCCCCCGCCGGGACGTCACTCGACGCTTCCCTTGGCACGTCCCCTGGCGTTCCACAGACGTCCCCGCTGGCTCGTCCCGCGGTGGCGTTTTCCCTGGCACGTCGCGCGGCACGCCCCATGGCGCGTTCTGCGGCAAGTCCCCTGGCGCGCGCGCCCCGCGGCGCGTCCCGCGGCAAGCCCCCCGGCGCGCCCCGCAGCGCGTCCCTTTGCACGTACCGTGGCCTGGCCCCTGGCGCGTCCCGCGGCGCGCCCCTGGCGGCATCGTCGCAGCACGGCACGATCGAGGCACGATAATCGAAGCACCAATTGGGGAGTCGCATCGCAGCATGGCGTGGCACCAGACAGCCGATCCACGACGCGAAAGAGAACAGCACAGTTCAAGGCATTGTGTCGCAGCGCAGTGCATCGCAGCATGGATCCATCGCAGTTCGCACCAGGATCACTGCCTTCGTTGTTTGCGAGGGGCCTTGTCCCCTCGGAGTGCGGCTCCCTCGTCAGGAGAGGCCATGCGGTCTCAGGATGGTGAGCCGAAGCGTACTCAGCTTGTCCCAGTCTCGGTTTGTCTAGTCTTGCTTCGAGAAGGGTCGGTTCGCGGTCCGTCCATTCTCGGTGTGTTTCGCGTTGTTGCGGATGCGCCCCTTCTTAGTTCGTCCGTTTCGGACCTGAATCGGATCTTGAGATCGAGCTGGTCGACAGCCCCGCGCGTTTCGACTGCAACCAGCTCGAGCTTAAGATCCATGGCAGTTCGGTCAGGATTTTGGCGCCAAGAACGACCTGAGCCACAATACAAAAGAGCACAACACAGCTCAACGCGGCGTAGTACACTGCGGTTCAGCACAGCACAGCACAGCACAGCCCCTGACACGGCATATCACCGTCGTTGCCTTGAACCTTGCAATTGCCCGTTACGCATTTCAAGCGTTTTGAGGACATTTCCATGCGTCGCATTGATGTATCCATTTCCAGGTTCGTGCATCAATCATGTTCCATCTTGTTTTCATGTGTTGGGGCGATGCTTCCATGCCGTTTTGCACGCACACAGTCAGTACGTGGTTCGTTTTGCTCGTAAGAGCGCCGAGTCAGGACGATACGTCAACCCGATACAGACAAACCGTATCGACTGGCTTAATCGTCTGGCTTGATCGTTGCGCGGTGCTTCAGTGTTCTGTGCCAGACAGGTCTACAGATGCGGCTCCCAGCTCAGAGGCGCTGCGGGGCAATCTGCCGCTCGTCATTTATTAGGACGCGACTTGCAGCCCAGGTCTGTCTCGGTCCTGGGCTTCTGGGACCCGGCTCGGACCAGAGCAGCCCCCTTGTCGGCGCGCCGCCGACTCAGGTCGCCGCCACCAGCCTCGACCAGCCCAGAGCAGCCGGTGGCCCTACTCGCGAGCGCGCACGCACGTGCGCACGTGCTCGCTGAAGTTCGCTGAGCGTTGTTGGCTGCGACCGCGGCTGGAAAAGACAAGGTCTCAGATCTTCTTTCGCTCTTCCTCAGCTCGGGGCGCCGCTTGGTTGGAAGGAGCCGCGGGAGGGGAGAGAGGAGGGAAGGGGCTGGCAGGCAAAGGAGGACTTCGACTGCGAAGCGGGCTACTCCAACTGGGCAGCGGGGTGGTCTGCGGAGAAGAAGAAGGCCTGCTGCGAGACGGTTCAGAAGGGCTGCGAGGCCTTGGGGACTGCCGATGACCTCTCCGGTGCTGTTCGGCCGATCCTCCTGCTGGGCCCTGGGCCGATCTGGGCCTCCGCTCCCCCGCCCCGAAGCTCCCTTAGAGCCCCAGCCGACCGGCAGCGCCCCTGCCCGCCCTCGGTCAGGGCAAGTTTCAGGGGCAACGAGAGGGGGGGATAGGCACAGGGGGGGATGCATCGACCCCCAATCGCCCACGGATCGCCGATGCGGGCCCGATAGCCGATAGCCCCAACCTGCCCAGGAAGGTGCGGATTCACGATCGGAGGCCTATCGCCGATCTATCGGCGAGGTATCGCCGATTCCAGGTCGATGCATCCCCCCCTGTGCCCCTCAGCAAGGAGAGGCGCGGGCAGGTTCGTGCCGTGTCGGCGCGGCGGGTGACCCCGGCGCGGGCGCTCCAGGCTGAAGGCCTTGGGTGGCCCAGGGCCGCACGATTCAGGGGCAACGATAGGGGGGGACAGGCATAGGGTTAAGTCGGGCCTGTCCCTCTACAGGGGAATATTCAAAAGTAGTCAAAAAATGCTATGGGGACTATCATTTGAGTATTTTTTTTGTTGGTTGCAATTTTGGAGTATTTTTTTAGCATTTTTTTTTCGTCGAAAATCCCCCTGTATGGGGGACAGGCCCGACTTAAGCATAGGGGGGATGCATCGACCCCCAATCGCCCATGAATCGTCTATGGGGGCCCGATAGCCCCAACCTGCCCAGGAAGGTGCGGATTCACGACCGGAGGCCCATCGCCGACCCATCGGCGAGGCATCGCCGCTTCCGGGCCGACGCACCCCCCCCTCTATGCCAGCCCCCCCCCCTATCTCAGGAGGAGAAAAAACACACAGACACAACCAATCGTCGATTCCCCAGAAAATATAGGAAAATGTGGGCAGTGGGGGGGAAGACAGAAACCCAGAAGATATGGGAAAATATGGGGAACCCTTTTATTTGTATGTACTTATTTGTGTGTCCCAGGGCCCCCCCCCCCCTATCGCTGACCCTCAGCAAGGATGGGGCGCGGGCAGGTCCGTGCCGCGTCGGCGCGGCGGGCGACCCCGGCGCGGGCGCTCCAGGCTGAAGGCCTCGGGCGGCCCAGGGCCGCACGATTCCAGGGCAACGATAGGGGGGGATAGGCATAGGGTTAAGTCGGGCCTGTCCCTCTACAGGGGAATATTCAAAAGTAGTCAAAAAATAGTATGGGGACCACTATTTAATTTTTTGTTGTTGCAATTTTGGAGCAGTTTTTGAGCATTTTTTACTTTTCGTGTCTGACGGGCCGGTGCCGTCCGAGCGCGGGGGCCGCCCGGAGGGGAGCCGCGAGCCGCGCGGGGGGGGTCGGAGGCCGACGCGCGGGGGGTCGTCGCGGTGCGAGCCTGCCGTGTGGAGCAGGGCTGGACCCTTTTTGGGCGATTCCGTGGGCCGTGTTCGCTTCGGCTTCGTGCTGCGGTGGAGGCGGCGTTCGAGACGAAAGCGAGGGGGAGCGAAGGCGGAACGAAGGCGAAAGGCACCGTTTAGGTTCGGCCCTGGTGCAAAGAAGGCGAGGTCCGTGGCGCAGGCAGGGAGGTGGATTCGGGCGCAGAGGAGGGGAGGGTGGTTGTCCTTGCGATCAAGCAGGGTTCAATGTCGACCCGATCGAGTCGATCCGGTCTCGCTTCGGTCAGGCCCGACCCGCTTCGTTGCTCCCGATGCTCTGGCGATCCGATGCGGCCCGGTGCTTGCGCGGCGCGGCCGTGCAGCCTTGAGCGGCAGGTCCGATCCGATGCCGACCCCGCCCTCCTCCTCCTCCTCCTCCCTCTCCTCCTCCCCCTCCTCCTCCTCCTCCTCCTCCTCCTCCTCCTCCTCCTCCTCTTCCTCCTCCTCCTCCTCCTCCTATTACTCCTCCCCCTCCTTTTTCTCCTCCTCCTCCTCCTCCTCCTCCTCCTCCTCCTCCTCCTCCTCCTCCTCCTCCGGTGCGACCCGACCCGCCGAACACTCGGGCGCCATCCGGCTGCCCGACCCGATGCCGACGGCTCCTGTCCCGGCTCGGGTCGGCCGACGGGGGGGGTGATCGGGAAGCGGGGTGCTCACGATGCTCCTCTCCTCCTCCTCCCTCCTCCCCCATCCTCCTCCCTCCTCTCTCTCCTCTCCTCCTCCTCCTCCTCCTCTCCTCCTCCTCCTCCTCCTCCTCCTCCTCCTCCTCCTCCTCCTCCTCCTCCTCCTCCTCCTCCTCCTCTTCCTCCTCCTCCTCCTCCGGGTTTCGGCCCCGCCGCTGGTCCTCGGTGCATGGGCGCCTTCGGCGCCGGGAGGCGCCAGATGAGCCAGCTGCCCGAGCTGATTCGCCAACCCCCGCCCCTCCCTTCCCTTCGGACGTAGGCGTGTGCTCTCGGAGGTCCCCGCGGACCTCTGGGATCGGCGCGTCGGACGCCCCTCGCGGGCGCAGCGCGCCATGGGGCGGCCTGTCACCCCCTTTTGGGCCGACCCGACTGGCGCCCGACGGGCCCGAGGACGTGCCCGCCACCAAGCCGGCCGACGGCATCCTCCCGGCCTGTGCGGCCGACCTGGAGCGGCGCCCTCGGACTGCGCCGGTGGCTCGGTGAGGGCAGGACGGCTGGGGCCGGCAGGGCCCGTGGGCTGGAACCACGCTCATTTACATGGGCTCCTTTTGCCAGAGAGCTGGCACCAGATGTTTTGCACTGTTTCCTTGCGTCCGTGAGCTGACTCCGCGTGCTTTTACAGGGGTTCTTTTGGTCCGTGAGCTGAGACCATGTGTCTTTTGCATGGGTTTCTTTCGACTTTGAGTTGAAACCGTTTTTGATTAAGGTTCGGCCCTTGTCTCGGTTCGTGTTGCTTCGGCTCGTCCTGTTTCGGTTCGTCGCGTTTCGGTTCGCCTCGTTTCGGTCCGTCCTTTGTCTGTGTGTTTCGCCTCGATTCGGGTTCACTCTCTGTTGATTCGTCCCACTTGGCCATTGAGGATGTCGTCCGTGCATTCCAGCCCTCGTTCGAGCCTGCGTGAGGCACGTTGAGGGCAGCAACTGTTGTGAGACAGCGCCACTTGAGCCTTCAGCATCAGCGCCTGTGAGAAACATGATCGACCCATGAACCCGGAAAGGGATATGGAAATGTGAGGCATGGCATCGTTTCCAAGAGACACCTGATAGGGCGACGGGCAATTGCAATGCTCAATGTCTCGATCTTGGTGAACCGTGCCCAGGGCTGTGCTGTGCTGTGCCGTGCTGAACTGCGATGTACCATGCCGCGATTCTGTTCTACAGTGTTGTGGATCGAGTCCTCCATGGCATTCGAGTTCTGGCCGAACTTATCTGGATCTTGAGCTCGAGCTGCCTGAGCACGTAGTAGCCGTCCCAGAGCTAATTAGTTGAAGCGGAAAAATGGAGGATGTTCAATCAACTCGACCTCAGAATCTGATTCAGCTCCGAAAAGGAACGACACGACACGGGGCATAGGCTCACGGACGCGCCACAGGATGTGCCAGGGGCGCAATAGGTGATGCGCCAGGGGACGTGTCAGGGGACGCATCAGGGAACGTGCCCTGGACGTGTCAGGGACCTGCCACGGGACGTGCCAAAGCGCGTGCCATGGGGCGGCCTTTGGACGTCATGCCAAGGGATGTTGCAAAGGGCCCGCCACGAAACGTGAAGGGGAAACGCCTGGGGACGAGCAAGGACACGCGACAGAGGACGAACCAGGGAACATGCCACGCCGAGTGGCGTGATAGGGGACGTGCCAGGGCACGTCACGCCTGAACGTCACAAGGGACGCGCCAGGGGGCACGCCAGGGCGCTAGGGTACGCCGCGCGGAGGGGCGGGGTTGGACTTCGACGCGCTCTACTGCGACAAGCGTTTCGCTCGAGAAATCCTCAACAAATCCTCATGTTAAACATCCGCCTACGTGAAACCAAGTGTCTCGCTCGAGACGTTCTCAGCACCTCCTCATGCTAGACATCTGCCTGAGTGACCTGGAGACGTCAAACCAAGCGTTTCGCGCAACACATCCTCAACACGTCTCAACGCATCCTCATGCTCGACATCTGCCTCGGCGACCTGGGCTCGCGAAAACGGGCGGTTCGCTCGAGACATCCTCCGATCATCTTCATGTTAGACATCCGCCTGGGCGACCTGGGCACGTGAAAACAAGCGTTTAGGAGGAGGAGGAGGAGGAGGAGGAGGAGGAGGAGGAGGATGAGGAGGAGGATGAGGAGGAGGAAAAGGGAGGAGGA